GCGACCAATCTCGTCCCATAGAGCCGCTCTCCAGCCCCACTGATTACAGTTGACGGATTTTTGCCTCTCCTCGAGTGGTGCAGAGTGGCCTGGCGGCGGGGCGGCTGCGGTCGGGGGAAGGCGACTCGCTCGGCGGAGGAGCAAAATGGAACACGCACGCCCCCTCCGTGAAATGGTTGAGCGGCGAGGGCGAGGCCCGCGGGCCAGAAGGGTTTGCCTATTCCCGCTGAATTACTCGGTCACCCTCCCCTCCCCTCCGCTGCCCTCCCCTCCGCTGCTCTTTTCTAAGCGGGCCCCCGCGACCCATTCGCCTTGCGAGAGATAGATATCGCGCTGTCTGACGTAACGCCCCTCCGCGAATTATTAACAGGCAGTGTGGGGAAGGATGGGGGAGGGCGCTGACCGGCCGGGGCGACCCGCCGGGAGATTAAAGGGTCGTGGAGAGGGAAATGGTGGAGGGTTACTCTGGGAAAATTATTGCTGTAAAATATTGTCGAAATCTTAAAAAACACTTTGGAGAATATGTCCTTGTGTCCTATATACATAGTGGTTGTTGTGCCCCCTTGGTCCAAAGAGGGCCGAGCACAGCAATCACCCATTAGATAATATTTATCTAAATATTAATTAGGCAAGTTCTGTAAAAAGTATACTTTTATTTTTAATTTCAGAATATTTTTTACAGTGTATGTTCGTAGATGTGCATTATATTTTGTAACTTAATATTTACAAAATATGTTTGTACATGTACAACATAACATCGCACTCTTATTTGTCGATGGATTTGAAGCAGTCGATACGCAGTGCTTGTGGAGGGGTTGGCGTAGAGAATTAAATGGAGCTCAATGGGAGTGAAAAGGGGTAGAATGCAATACTGCTGGGGACTCATACCTTCGACTACAAAACACGACTACAAAATTCGAAGTCGACAGCGTCCTGAGCGTAAGCTAGGATGGACGTCGACTGACGCACAGGGCGCCGTGGTGTGACGTGAATGGAAATATTATTTGACTGAATTTGACTCAATTTATATTTAATTTAGTACTCTAGGCGAACCCTGGAGACGGGGCCACCAATCCCCGATGGGAGTGTAATCCGTATGTAATCCGTGTAAAACTTTACCAAATTTTCAAAAAGTATCAGTAAGTGTCATCTAATTTTCCAAATTTAATAGTTTGAGCCCCAGAAACGCAACAAAATTCATGTGTCATCTCTCATAATTTACGAGTTATCCCTGCACTCACGCAATCCTGTGTACATCCTGCCTGCATCGAAGTAGTGGCCTCCTCGAACCCTAGCTTGTGGATTTTGAATTGTATTGCACAACGCCTCCCATGGAAAATTTCTCATTTCTCTCTGCACTGTGAAAAATTTCCCCGTAAAGTTACGACATTTCTTGTAATTTGGAATTACAAAATAATGTTGTAAATTTACGGCGGACCAGTTTTGCTCCTCGATTATTTCGAAGTCGATAGGAAGTGATTGTAGTTGTACAACTTCAAGTTGTAACTTTACGGACTCACATCATGGAAAATTTTCCTGTAAACTTACGAGTATTTTTCAAAGTGTGTATAGGTACTGAGTGTGCGGAGATTGTTGAAAATGTTCCCCCTTGATGTGTGCCGACTGACTGAGCGCAGTTCCTTGCCCCTGCGCAGGTCACGTGGGTGCGGCGCCGCGACTGGCACATCCTCACCTCGGGCATCTCCACCTACACCAACGACGAGCGCTTCCAGGTGCTGCACCCGGAGGGCTCGGACGACTGGACGCTGCAGATCAAATACGTGCAGCGCCGGGACAACGGCACCTACGAATGTCAGGTGAGTCAGCAGACAACATTTCAGTTTCAGTTTCAAAAAAAACAGCCTAGAAAAATGTTTTTTTTTTTTTTGTGTGTGTTTTTTTGTTTTTTTGTAAAACGTGGTTAGTCTAGTTGAGGATGTGCGGTCTTTTGAAATCCTCTTACCGCATGGCCTATGAAGAATATTTCTGGGCTGAGATTGAGCTCTAGCAGGCAGGGCTTTATAAAACTGCTGCCGTTAGACGAACGCACTCAAAAATCATCAACACCCTTGCAAAAGGGGGCTCTGATCGTTGTGGCTTTTCTACCCATATCTCTCTATCTCTCTTCCTCTCCACGGCGGTGCACACCGCCTTTCTGCCGGCTCAAATAATACCCCCGCTCCTGCTGCTCCTCCCTTGGAGCCGGTGAGGTATAGGGAGGCGTGCAGGATGCGGAGGGGAGGGGCGGGCGGCTATCGATAACGTGTTCCAACAGCAGGTGAGCTCAGGCCGAGGCTCGCTCCGCCGCCCACACGCTCTGCGCTTCTCCTTTTCTCTTCCGGCGCGGAGCAATTAATTTAACCCCCGCACTACTATTTTCAAAGAGCAGACCGCTCAGCTCGCCGCGCCGGTCGAGCTAGCCGCGCAGCTGTTGGGAGGCCAGCGCTGGGCCAGCGGCAGCTGCTGCTTGCAGGCTGCTCTCCTCCAAAGCGCGCGACGAAAGCGGGCGCGCCTGGACGCCTGAAACGGCAGGCGGTTTTTGAATAAGTTTGTTAATCAGACCACAGACAACTCTCTCGGATGTCACACTATAACCTCAGGTCCACTGTGCTTTGCAAAACAAACAATTTGTTAGAAATACAAAGAATGAAAATTTTCGTAATGTTGCAAAACATTTAGTTCGTAAGAATTTTACAGTGTGTGGACTCAAATGTGTTTCATGAAGGAGGAAGCGATCCCAGAGGATAAAATGTACACACTAAAATCTTATGAACATTTTTCTTCATAGTTACTGAGTTCTGTAAACATGCTCGGCTTACGCATTTTTTTAATGCGCCAGTATGAAGAAATTTGTGCATACTGGCGTATTAAAAAATGCGTAAGCCGAGCATGTTTACAAAACTCAGTAACTATGAACAAAAAAGTTCATAAGATTTTAGTGTGTAAGCCACACAAATGAATGTATATATTTTCCCCTGTTTAAAAATCGGGAACCTGTCACCAACTGCGTGTGCGTATATCGTGTGAAGTCGCACGACGGGACGGGCCGGGAGACGGTTCGGCGCGGGTTGTCTGGCGAGGGGAGGGAAGGCTCGCAAGAATACCCCGCATGATGTGCGCCTCACACAAGAGGAGAGGGACTCCCCGGGGTTGTAGTGAACGGCGAGGAGCAGGAGCGGGGGTTGACGCACACGCACGTCG